GATGGCTATCCGATCAGGGTAATTCGGAAATTAGCCTGGTAATGATACATATCGAAAACGGTGTGATTATCCGGAAGCAGCAACAAGCCTTTGGAGCCATTGGTATATCGATAAAAGTAACTAACCGGAATGAAATTCATGAGTGAGAAGGTTACGTTGGAAGTTGGCGTGACGGGCGATAAGGACAGATGTGATAGACTCGACTGATCAGCCCATATTACTTATTTTCCTTGTTTCTGCCGTTCTCTCAACAGCAATCATTCTAGTTGCTTCTATAATTTTTTTGCGACACGCTTACCATGTAACTCACACTTTTGATATACTTAATCAGAAATTTAGGTTGTGCCACACATTTCCATACAGAACCTTGAAAGTTTGTGGAATAAATAATAAAAATAAAAGTAATAAAAATAAAGTAAGAAAAATAAAAGTAATAAAAATAAAAGTAATAAAAATAAAAGTAATAAAAATAAAAGTAATTAACAAAAATAAAAGTAAATAATGTGGCGCAGAGCTGTTGCGCAGCAAGGATAGTCCTTCGCCAACCGAGGAGGCTGCAGGTGAAAGAAGAAATAAGAGGCTGCAGTCCAGCGTAGACATTGTCGTATATGTGATTGACCCCCTTCACCCTTTATCACCTCCCTAGGATCAGTCCCTCAACAATTCCACCATTTTGGCAAAATGCGAAACAACCTTGTCGTACCTGAGGGGCTACAGCTGAAGAAGCTGATCGTGGGATCCATTAGAATTCTTCCTCCAGACCAGAAGGTTTTGGAAATTAGAACCTATTGAGACGCTAGAGTTGATTGATTGTTTTAGTGATCCCGGGCGTGCAACTACCGAGGATCATGAAGTAGTCCCGTAGGGGTAGTGCCCGTTTTCTCTTGGGAGTGGCGGGGGCGGTGCTTCCCTCCGCTCTATGGCGCGATCCGGCGCCAGACTTAACATCACAAGGGCCCTAGCGGGGGTTAGCTCTAAGCTCCTGACCGTCTCAACAACGGCTGGGAGCTGTTAGTGGTAAGGGGGAGAGGATAGGACGAGGAAGAAAAGATCGCGCGCCAAGTCCACAGCGGCCGTTTGTTAGAGTAACTGGCTCACCGGGGCATATCGCGTTGGCGATAGTCGGAAAACCTACCCTATCAGAGCAGCCGCCGCGGGTAGGCGGTTTCTAGCCAGCACAAGGCGGCCTGAACTGTACCTACTATGTAGCCACTGTCGAAAATCCTGGGCCACCGAATGGGAGTTGTAACGCTAGGGGACCATCCGGGTCCAGCGACGCGACAACTGCAAGAGTGTTCATCAGTTGATCAGCCCTAGCCACCTCTCCAATAACATTGCTCCGTACCTAGGCGTGAAGTAGTGTGGAGAAATTCTCCCACCGTGGGGGAGTGTAACCCTAAAGGACCTCCCGGTCAGAGAGATTTGCAAGTGACATCAGTCGATGCCCTGAGCCACCTCTGTCGTTCACATCTCGAGATATAGCCTGCGATGTTACTTACGGGAACCACCGACTCCGTAGCTGACCTGTCCAGAAACTTAAGAAGCTGGAGACAATGTGCGAGGTTATGGGATCACAATAAAGTAGCCTAACGTTATGACAGAACATTTTTCTCATTGTGAAGAGTTCGCGAGGGGTGTATTTAAATTGTAATTTCATTTCAATTCACTTTGTTTTTTGTTTTCCTTTTCTCTTTTTCCCTTTTCTTGTTACGGCCAGTTCGGCATGTGCACATTGTACTTATGTACGTTATAAACAATGGTGTAGTTGCAGGACATCTTCATGCAGGTCAAATTCCCAGGTTTCCATTTGCCAAGTGAACTAGTTTTTTAGTCGTTTCTAGACGCTAATGGAATAGTTTATGATCTTTAGTAAGGGGAGAGGGTATTTTAAGGCAAGGAGGTAAAACGTGTGTTATGCTTGTTACCGCGCCCGAGTAGCGTCGTATTTTAATATTTAGGAAGGGTGGGGGCGATTCATCAACACAGCCTGATGGACCGTGAGATCAGGGCCTCAACATCATACGTTTGCATAGATATGATTTCCCCTCCAGGTATTGAGAGATTTCTATGAAGAAGGGATCCACGGCTTGACAGCTACTGTTGCTAACTGCTGGTGAAGCGTAGCTGCAGGTTAGTAAGAATACCATCGACACACATCTCTATTTTTAGCAAGTGACACGTAATGTGCAGATAATCTCAACAAGAATTGCTCTAAGATCCATTATGTAGGTAATTGATTGGGCTGTGATCACGGAGGAATCTCAATATTACAGCTTGCCATCTCTATGTCCTGCGGTGAGTGTAATATTATTTCTATCACTCGACCTCTGACCCAGATAGCGTCCCGTTATGTATGTGACACTATCTTTCTCGATATATTTTATTCACTCTCTATAGTATGCTATGGCATATATTCATTCTGGTTCATAAGAAACCATTTTCTCAGATCTTGGCTAGAGATGTCGTAAGGATCGTGCTATAGGTGTCCACTTAGATAGAAAGAGAGATAACAGAACATAAGACAGCTGGAGAAAGAACTTCAACTACATAGTGCGGCTCCCAGCGATTATCACGTGGCCCGTAATTTCTGAAACCGACAATCTTACTACTCCTTATGCTTCGTGGAATTATTATTTTGGACCGGGATTCAAGTAGCCTTAGATACTGCAGAGAATTAAACAAGAAACACATATTATGGCAAACACAATCCAGATCGCTAAGAATATTATTTCTACTACGAGGATGAAGTGAAACCAGAATTAACGCACTCCGCTAAGCTATAGATATAAGGTGTGGAGAAGAGTTGTGTAACAGATTAGGAGCAAAGTTGAGGCGCAATGTACTGGATTTCTAGAAAGATCATATAACTAACAATCTGCCCCTTCGACATTTTTGGTCAAATAAGATAATTATCTAGTTGAGCACTGGCCCAGCCAGATCCTGTGTATGAGCTGTTCAAAAACAAGTCATAGTCTACAACACATTACAGAGTGATTTATATATATTGGTTGGTTATAGACACCATCGACGACTTAATCACACACCTGCATTTGCCTGTTTATCTAGATATTGGACTACAAGAGATACTAGAAGAACACACGTAGTAAGAAAAGGTCGGCAACTTCCCAACTATTCTCGCTGGACAGCCAGAAACACAGACAGGCATACGACCATCCATTCTGTATGGCATCCATCATTAACATTAATAACACTCATAAAGCAATACACATAGGTACCTATCTCTCGTACATTTATCGCTTCAACGGTTAAGGACATATGTAATTACCACTGCGCTGTTAAGAGAAGAAGCAACGCTATACTTCTCTCTTATATCCCTACATTAATGTTATATTGGACAAGTTCTGCAACACGATGACACACTTCGCCACGTTGGTGTTCGCTAGTGTGAGTAATCAGAGAGCGAGTAGTGATAAGACAAGGAAGAAGAGGAGAGACTCTCGACGCCGCAGCAGCTTTCAGATCTTGTTGGGCGCACATCGCTCCGCAATCGGATACGGTATTTAATCGAGAAGACACTATATTACTGCCGGAGCTTCCTCATCTACGTGTCTTATTCCTGACCACCGCGGCCCGCCGCAGCATGGTACTCCTCTGACAGCTTTCGCGGAGTGCTACCTGTAGCGTACTATATTGCGACTGAACACACTTTAGGTACAGATTTCTAGATATTGATTTCACATATTGTTAATTTAACAATTTATAGTAGATATGGACTACTTCACTATTATTCTCCCGTCAGCACATTTAATAATTTCTTTGGTTAGATGATTCAATCTGCTTTCTATTTGATATGAATATTTCATAAATAGTGTATTAACACAGGAATGTACCAAAGAACGGCTAACTCTTTACGGGTGTGAGTAGCACCAGATCCGTTAATCTGTTTTCGGCGGAACTAATTATCTTGTGGTGGGCTCTACATCGGCAAATTTTCACAAAAGTTCAGCTGTGATTATTTCCCAGACTAGTACTTGGCATGTATACATATGAGTCACTACTGAATAATTACATATTTCCGGACACGGCCATTCTTTTTGGATTTTGTATCAATATTATACTTTATCATTAGTAGAACAACATATGGCTCTGTATAAAGTCACACATTCATCAAAATAAAGGAGAAAATTACAAATTTTAATAATCTCAACAAATGCACAAGTCAAACCAGTGGTATGACTGTCATCACACACCCACACTCATCTTTTATTCCTGTTCAATACCATATGTGCAGTTATGGTCTGTTGAACATAACATGGTTTGTCAACCCCCAACAAATCGAATATAAGACCTCTATAATTCGTCTTGTAATCAACTGTTTTAATAACTCAAATAATGCTAAGTCACGAGCTTAATGATGCAAACACAAGGATTAAGTATTAGTTCTAAATAAATTGTCCAAATTTTTATCCCTAGGTAATTAAGGCAATAATTCTTTAAACATAAATTTGTCAACGACAAACGAATAGACACTGTATTCTTGCATGTAATCAATGTAAATTGCAAAAAAAATTTATACGTCATTTCTATAAAAACTTTTACCACATGTAGGAAAATATAAATGTTTTATTTCGGTCTGGCTACGCGGCGCCTTTCCGAAAGTTTTTCAAGCACCTGCCTCGCATCTGACGATTCATCGCCCGACGACAAAGGGAAAAACGGCGGCGAATTAGCAGCGCGAATGAGCGCGAATCGACCTTCGAGAGCGCCCTAAGCCGCAGCACAGTGCCACGCGCAATATTAGCTGCGCGTGCACGATGCTCTTTGAGCGGCCCCCTTTCGGTGCAAAAAGCCGCTGGAGATGTTAACGGGGCGCGCGGACCGGGTTAAATCATCTCTGTTACCTTCAATCTCTGTTGGGATACACACACTGCAACGGATGGTTTGGCCAACTTTCATTTGAAATGATAAGTCTTTGTTCCTGTTAACGGGAGTTCACGGAGTCCTTCGCTGCCGGCATTTCGATAAATAGACAACCACACCCAGGCACAGACACAGACAACCACACCCAGCACAGAACAACAGACAAGCGCCACACCCAAGGTGGCACCAGGGACACACAACCCACACCCCAGCCAGACACAGACAACCCACACACAGGCACAGGACACAGAACAAACCACACCAGGCACAGACACAAGACAACCCAGCGCCCAGGTCCAGACACAGACGAACCCCACGCCCAGGCACAGACCTTACAGACAACCACAACCCCAGGGCACCAGACACAGACAACCCCGACCCAGGCACAGACACAGAACAACCCACACCAGGCCACAGACACAGACAAACCCAGCACGCCGGCACAGACACAGAAACCCACACCCAGGCACAGACACAGACAACCCACACCACCCAGGCACAGACACAGACAACCCCACCTCGAGGCAAAGTTTACACAGCACAACCCAACACCCAGGGCACAGACACAGACAACCAACACCCAGGCACAGACACAGATAACCCCACACCCAGGCCCAGGACAACCCACACCCAGAGCACAGACAACGCCACACCCAGGCACAGACACCCCACACCAGCACAGCACCCACACCGCAGGCACAGACAACCCACACCCGAAGGCACAGCACAACCCACACCAGGCACAGACAACCCACACCGCAGGGCACAGACAACCCACACCCAGCCAACAGACAACCACACCCAGGCAAGAAACCCAACCCAGGCAACAGACAACCCACACCCAGCACAGACAACCCACACCCAGGCACAGACAACGCACACACCCAGGCACAGACCCCAACCCACACCCAGGCACAAGACAACCCACACCCAGGCACAAAGCAACAACCAACCCAAGGCTAAGACAAAGTTTAACTGCGCGTGGTTTTCCTGTCAATACCAGGCGAATGCCAGAGACGCGGGGACAGGGCCAAACGCGAATGTTTTCCTTCCTCTTCTTGTCTACCCCTCACCCTTCACTTAAATACACAGCATTACAACATATTCGGAGGACAAGCAAGAGGTAACTTCTGTCCTGGAGGGGGCGGTGACCCGCTGGAAGGAGATACGTGGGCGAGAAAACATTCGTAAGCTAACGTGTAGGCCAACCGCCTGACCACCCATCCATGGGAGGAGGGACGCTGCATTTCCAGTGATAAACCAGCCCTTAAGTAAACGATTTATAATCGTTGCAGACTGTGCTCAGACACATCAAATACCAGTCGACTCCCGGATTTATAGTGCGAACTCCTTGGACAACGTATTTTCGTTCATACATCGATTAATGTCAAAATTAAATAGAATTTTCCAATAAGGATTGATTTGATCAATATAAAAAAGCAGAATACAGTGTATTCGAGAAAACGGTACATTTAAATAGAGAAGCAGAACAGCAGAATTACATTATAACAGTACCGTACTGGAAATTTTCATATATTTATTTGTCGCTTAAAAAAAGCAATTATTTTCAATTGTTTGCTTTGAACAACTTTTCATAGAAATTTCTCTACAAACCTTCTTCACAGTTCGTGCTCTCTCCATACTTCTGCCTTGGTCCACTGGGCTTCTAAGTATCGTAATGAACGTTTGACACCTTACAAATGTCTCTACACTCCTCGGAACACCGCCCCACCTCCGAAGACCCTTTTAAAACTCGCCCAATAACGAGATGCTTCGGTAGCGAAATCGCAATGCTTCCTGTCCCTACGTAGAATCAACGTGCTCGGTTCCGCAGAATATCAAATGTAACACCAAGCTTGAAACTGAAGCTAACAATCGCGCGTCGCGCACCGCCAGTTGCAGCCCAGCAGGCACGGCCCTTGTTTTCCGCAGTGAAAAAGAGAAGTCATACAGTAATCTCCCATCCGGGTCCAACTACCTTCACCTCAGAGGAGAACTTCTTCGCTGACGACCTTCGGCGACTGTATTTTTTTTTCCAAATGCCTCGTGTTTAATTTGTGGCTCTGAGGAGAAGTAATTATTCCCAGAAGGAAATTAATTTGCACGGGCGTAATTTCCTACGTCTTCCTATAGCAGAGGTTCACGTTCACGTTTAACCGAATCTGCTTAATGCTTACGTGTACTGTAAGTGAAACGGTACAGTGGCTTAAAGTTCGCTATCAAGAGGGTTCACCTAATACTGCCAGTTTACTAACAACGGAAGTTCTATGTATATCAATCAATAAGCTTAGCAACACAAGTTTTGGCCCTGTCGCGTTCTACCGGGGGGACCGGGCGCGCGCTAGGCCCTCGCCGCTCTCGACCGTTTTCGCCCTGGTGGTTATTTACGGAGTCGCGACTCGCCTCCTAATACATAGAGTGGCAGCGCGAACGCGTTGTGACTCAGGTGGAGTGGGGAGGGGGAGCACGCGCGCCGCTCGGCTTTTTGTTGTTCAGTTGCGCTCGCGACAAAAAAAAGTCAAAAGGACCGCGGAAGGAGGGTGCACGCACACTAAAGAAAAAAAAACACAAAGGAACCGTGGTATCTCTGTGTTCAAAGGTACCTAAACACCAGGTCGAACAATTGCTGTATTTCGAGATTCGATTACAAATTACGATAACGAGTTAAACGAGATTAAAAATTGTCCGGAGTTCAAGCCTACAATTTTTTTTGCAATACAACAAATTATAAATCTATAAGTCCGTAATTATTGATTTAAGACGAAATAAAGCTTACAGAGCCGGCCTGTATAGAGAGGTTGTAAGGCTGAATGGCCGTAAATGCTCTTGCCTAAGGGTCACGGGTTTCCATTCGCCTGGGGCATGAATGTTTCGTGTGTCCGTATACAGTCGCGCGAGTTCCTCTAATAGTTATCCTATAGTTAGTATTTAAAGTCAAAGTCTATAGAGGTAAATTATGGATTTCCAATAAAATCCTCAATATTTCCGACTAGGAGAAATGTGGGAACAACCCCTTGTTCTACAGAGCGCCTTCATTGTTTCACAATAATGCAGAGTTTGCAACACGGGTTCAAGCGTGTCTGCATTTATTTTCATTGACTAAGAAAATTAAACAAAGGTGTTTCTTTAGCAAATCGTGAGCATCAGAGTCAACAGTCGCAGTAATTGTCGCCAGTTGTAACTTAGCGATTGATCGCGAGAACTTTTAATCACTGAAGCTGACGCAACGCTCTTGAAAGAGAGAGGCAGATACGCTACGCGTAGCTGGGTTTTCCCGCGATAAGCTATTCGGGGCTCGCTAGACGGGGCAGCTTGCTTTGCTTTTGGGAACTTCGTCAACTACGCCTATATCGAGGCGTTTGTTTCTCATTCACAGTTTCCGCTTTCAAGAAATGACAAGGATACGTGAAGTAGTTTTAAAAGGTGAAATGAAAGAAATGTATACTACGGAAATTTTAACATTACTGAAGTAAACATTTTCGTTTATGTCTTCGTGTAGGCGTCAGTTATCGTGGGTGGCGAATTTTTGGTTTCCAAATAAGATTCAAATAAAATGAAACAATTACGGGTAATGAACGGAGACGACCGACCGACCGACCGTTACCCGACCGACCGACGCGACCGACCGACGCGACCGACCGACCAGACCGACCGAAGCCGGACCGACGCGTACCGACCCCCGACCGTAACCGGACCGAACCGACGGCGAACCGACCGAGCGACCGACCGACCGACGACTTAGCTCCGAAGACTTCCATATACCTAACAACTTTGAAAAACCGTGGATTCAGAAAATATGCAAAGATGTTACTTTGTAACTTTTCTCTAATTCTCTTAATTATTTTACGAATTAAAACAAAGCTGTTTCATCTTAACCGACGTAAGTCTACCCTAAGTGGCAGGCAGAAAGTAGCACGTTGTATCCCGAGTATAACATTATTGGTTACAAGAATATTCCGTCTTTGCAATTATAACAGACAATTACAACTAATGCATTTATATTATTTAAAATAATATTAACTTCGTTTTCGCTAATATGTTCAGAAAGTTAGGAAAAACAAATTAAATTTTACCGCCTTTTTTTTTGGCCGAGAGGGGAACTGCGGTTACCATACGGTAAGTCCGGGTATGTCGGACTCCTCATCCGCGTGGCATCCGACTAAAAGCTAAACCTCCTCGTTTCACCATGGGCTGGTGGTATCTCTGCGCGGACCGTCCGTTGATGACATTACTTCACGCAGAAGATTGCTGAGAGCATGAGCTTTCCCTCTTCAGATGGTCGCTATGGGTATTTAGCTCTCTCTGCTTTTAGTAGTGCTTTCTGTTTTAGTACGTGAGCCACGAAGGTCTCACTCTGGGTTTTCCGTTGTCTTCTGGATTGCAGCCATTGTCTGGGCTGTGTTGCAAACGGCGTTAATTCCGCCCGCAATTGCTATACGCAGTTTCTTCTTTCTTCCTCCCAAGCTTTGCTACTATATATGTGTGCATAGCGTCGTCGTATCTCATCGACATCGTGTGGCATATCGGGCTTTCAAGCGATTTTTAAATCTGAATAAGATATGCCTTGAAAGTTTCCCATGCCTTAAGAAGGCTTGCGTCAAGTAGCAGTCCACTGTGCCATGGTTCCTGCTGGTCCAAATCCTTGATGTTAGGGGACGAGGCTGTGGTGTCCATCTACCTTTGTACTGCAGGTCCCATGTTTTTGCCACTGGGCAGGAGATAGTTTTCTCAATTCGCGCTTTGATATTGTCTAATTGTCTTGTGACAGGGTTTGTTGTTTGTCTGCTGTAGTCCTCAAAGGTACATTGTCCTCCTTTCCTGGGCTAAAAAGGTCCACTTATTTTACCTTTGTTCATTTACGTATTGAAGCGCCAATTAAATTATATAAAATATATTGATTTCCAGAACATATAACGCCACCCTATTATTTTAAAGCAAAACAAAACGGACAATCTACTCCGCTCCAAGGTACCATGATGGTGGAAAAGGGAGGAGGGAAGTGGTTCTACACACTAAAATTATATCAAAAAGTATTACTCTCTTTACGTGTCAAAAACGTTTAAAATGTCACGTGTTAAGTCCTCATTCTTTTTTAATTTTTTTGTTCTGTCATTACAGACTCATTCCGTAAAAAGGTTGTTGAACCCATATTAGTATTTACGTTTTCAACCATCCATTACAAGTCAGTAATAACTGTTTTTCACTTATCTTAGTGTTTCTCCTACGCTACGAACGCCAGAATTAATTTCAAGTGGTGAAAGTAAATTTGTACAGATCGACCTGCTATCGCTGAGTCACATGAGTTACACATTGCAATCAGCCGCATGGTGA